GTCTTGAATTATTCGAATCAAACCCGCACGTATCGATTTGTAGTCTTTGAATTATCGACAACAATGGCCTCACTATGTCTTATTGCTTCCATTAGTTCCTCTAAGAATTTTCTAAGAATCATATAAAAGTCTCATAATTGAAATACACACTTTGATCAGCACTCATTTTCAAAACCCTCGCACGACCACACATCTCTTTCCGCAGTCCAAGATGCAGAATTTTGCTTCCTGTATTAATTAACGGTATCATCGTATTGTAAAACAGACGGCTCTCTTTCTGCTGCAGTTGATCGGCGATTTATTTGGCTATGGCGTTTTGTGACGGTAGTAAATATTGAAGAAAAATCTCTTGCTCTTCGTGACCATGCTTAGAGATCAAAATATATGTAATACACTGCCATTTTACCAACTTTTGGAGGGCGCGGTATCTGATAACTTCGTGATACATTTGACGGATAATAAATTCCATTAGATTGCGCTTTCCTTTGTTGTTACTTTATCCACTTGCAATATAACTAAAAAAAACAGAGGCGACAACCGAACCGAACAATATTGGCCAGTTGACGCAGATGCAGTTATCAAGAAGGTCGAAAAATTCCTCATAACCAACTATTAAATTTGATTTATGATGTAGTATATAACCCAACTATACGCCTATGATCCGTACTAGAACGATTTTCACGAATCTCCAATTAAGTTACAGAAGCAAATAAAAAGAGCCCCTCATTGCGGAAACGCAAAAATCTCATTACTAGTTGGATAGAACGATTTTAGTATTTTTGCGGTTTTGTTACGGAAGCGATAGAACGTATTTAGAAGAGGAAGAACTATAGTTGCTGTAATATTTTGTAAGTTTTTGATAATAAATAAATTCACTTTTCCCAAATCCTTTATAACTTAAGCTCGAAAATGAAAGAGCTAACCTTCTCAGACCTTCGTCAAACCAGTCAAGGTTCGGTATTATTGAATATGAGCTGGATGAAAAGTCCAAGTTGCAAACAATGATTCTGATTTCATCACATACAAGAAATATACCGTAACTTTGCGTAACGCCGTCGTTTGAACGCAAGGACATATGAACGCCAGGGTTTGCTGAAGGACGTGATCAAAGGAGCCGTAGAGGGTACAAGAAAAAGAGGAAGAAGACGAGTGAAGATGGTGGACGATATGAAAGAGGGGAGAGGGTAAGTAGATATGGAAAGAAAAACAAGGGATAGAGAACTGTGGAAACGGCAAAATAGAAGCTGCGTATAGCCGAAAACTAAAAAAACCGTAACCATACTATGTTTTTCTACTGTACTTCAGAGGGAGTAATCACCATTTAGGCATGTGGGAGCGGTAGTTTTAGGGCTTAGGAAAACCGAACGTTATTATTACTTGAGAATCTTAAACATTATTCCCTCGTTATGTACAAATCCTAATAGCTACTCATTACTTTCACTGTCCAACTTAGACAAACAAACTCATTAATAGCTCGCGGAATAACACTCAGTACTGTTAAGGTTTTAAAACAAGCTCAAGTTGAAGCTGCATAATCTTTCACTACTCTTCTATCCATCTATTGGAAAAATTGAGTTGTTTTCATATGGCGACCAGAGCTTTATTTCCACAGACGGACAGGCCCAACCTTAAAAATTTGCAATTTAAACATTTACAGAAGTAAGGTTGGCCACAAAGGACTTGATTTGATGTCATAGAATCATGGTTATATTGATCAGCGGCAGGTAAAATATTTGGTTTTTACCGTAAAATAGAGTGTGGTCTTCAGCTGTACAGAAGTAGAATGGTCTTTCTTAAAAATTAACTTCAAAAATTTGACAATGTTTTATGCTCGAAACTCGAAATGAGAAGTTCATCGTTAAACTTAGATTCTTTATTATACAGGGTGAGTTTTTTTTTCATTTTAAGCATTGGGATCTCGAAAACCATCATACGGATTCGGTTATATGAGATAAGAGTTGTCGTTTTAAGACCTTATTTAAGATATGTTTTGTTTTTTGAAAAAATCCACGGTTCACTAGATATGAACGAAAAACAGATTTAGTGATTTTTCATTTAACTGTTGTAGAATCGTTATTACCTATTAGAAATATAACAAAATGACACGAATAAAAGTTTTAGACATTTTAATGTTTAACATGATGAACATACTAATTTATTTTTAGATCTTACCATTTTTGAGTTATAATACAAACTTTAATTTTTTTAATGGTAGTCATAGTTGGCTTTGACATTTTTAAAAAGGACAAATTTTTCTCTTTATAATGATATAAGGCTTGCTAAATGTACTTTAATAAATAAACGCCCTGCAGTAATTTTCGTATTATTGAGAGGTAAGTAAACAGAGATGGCCATGGAAAACAATGTCTAGTGAGATAGGTACCTTTCATTTACGACGAAAATTAGACAGGCCAATGTTATCTTCATTTTCTATCAAATGAATTTCAAGATATGTAGGATGGGTTAGATTTGGAAACACAACGTAATTTAAGCTGGTTTCAACACAACGGTGCCCCGCCGCACAACTAACTGCAAGTTAAATATTATAATAGACTGAACAATTAAGAGAACAAAAATGTTTCCCATGGCAAAATCTGTTTTTACTACTCTTAATAATACAAAAAGTTCTGTATCATGTTTATTTGTGAAAGTAAGTACAATGAACCTTATATCATTGTAAACAGAAAAAAATGCACTTTTTAAAAATGTCACAGCCAACTATGATTACAATTTAAAAAATGTAAGTTTGTGTTATAACTCGAAAATTATAAAAGAAGAATAAATATTAATAAATGTATCTTATTAAACGGAAAGAAATCTACAATTTTTGTTCTTTGCATATTTCTGTATTTCTAATACTAACGATTCTACAACAGCTAAATGAAAAATCACTAAATCTGTTTTTCGCTCATATCTAGTAATCTGTGGATTTTTTTAAAAAAACAAAAGCATATCTTGAATAAGCTCTTAAAACTACAATCTTTCCTCATTTAACCGAATCTCTGTCTTACGGTTTCCGAGATCGTAATGCTTAAAAAACTCACCCTGTATATGTACGGATATATGATATCTAGCTAACAAGACCAGTTTTCACTCGAGTTTTTAGTTGGGAGCTACCATAGAGTAAATAATTTTATTTGTTACTCAGTTGCAAACGTTGATTATCAAGACAAAACGCAAACGGGTAAACGTCATCTTTAAACGCTACTGACTTGTAAAACTGACAGCTGACGTGTAAAAATTTTACAAGTTAGTAATCTAGTAATTTCATTGGCCAGATTTAATGCGAAGTCTCTGTTACATGGATAATATGATATTTTAGACATTTCTTCGAGATCAATTTAAGAACTAATTGTTTACGTTTACAAATGAGTAACAAATAAAATATTGTACATTATACGCCAGGTAATAGTTTTTACTGGCTCTAGGAGATGACAGGCTCGCCTGACGGCTCGCCAGTGAACTTCTCCTATCGCCAGTACAAACTCACTTACCTGGCTAATACTGTAAAATACTATAGAACTACTTACGTAGAACAATCCCGCAAAAATGGTAGTGATCTAAGATCCTTTGGGCATGAAAAAACCGTCTAACAAGCCGAGCTGATATAAATTTCGCAACGCTGTTAGTTGAACGGTTGCTTTAATATCGAATATTTTTTCCCGAAATCGTCATGAAACCTTCATTTTCATGCCTACTTTATGTGAAGAAATTTACCATGACAATGGCAATAACATTTTACCTGTCGCCTGTCACTTTACCAGACTGAAAATTGAAATTTTATATTAAAAAAGACGATTTCGGGGAAAATCTAATACAAAACTCGTCTGTAAATTAACACTACTTGACTTATTGGTAGTGAACCCTTTTTTCTATACAATTCACACAAACATTTACCAATAAATAAGCCATGGACGAGATTATATCCCCCGGCAATTAGGACGGCCGTTCCAGAATAGACCAATGGCATTTTAAACCAACACGAAATTGGCTTCCAATAAATTAATGAATTAAAAGCAAGTTTGAGGCTCTAAAAAATTGATATGGACCCCACTTTAGGCGCCAAATTAAAATGTTTTGTGCCCCACGTTGGACACCAAACAAAAATGCTATGTGTAATGGCAAGCGGTCATTAAAACCACCAACAAGCACCTCTCCCAATTGTCGGTTGACGAAAAAATACGTTTGTATAATTATACGTTTGACAGCCCCCCAAATTTCGTGCTTAAACAAATTTTGGTGCGTTAGTTGTCAAGCTCATTTTAAAAGAGAAGAAGTTTTAACAATGTATCCAGCTGGAGGAAAATTTCTAGTAATTGGTGGCTATTAATCCACGAAAATCTCTCAGCCGAATACAACGCTGTATATCTTGTTAACCGTCAAGTGATTAAAGACGATTTTGCTTAGGTATATGTAACGGTGACTCTAAATTTGCATTTAAATTTGTTCGAAAATTTGTTGCGAAATTAAAGATTTTGGGATTTCTAACTCTAAGGGTGTTTTAGAGGGCCGATACATAAGTATGTATAAGCACTGCTGGTATATCTTATGAGGATTATGACTTCTTGAAGTGTTAGTCCATTTTTATAGCATTGATTCAAATTCATCTCGAAATGTATACTGTTTATCTACGAGTATAATGTAAGACTGTAAGAGTAATACGTAATCGGCGCTTTATTCTGCATTATCACGGAAATTACAAAACAAACGATTAAAACCAAAACTGCATTCTCTAAATAGAATAAATTAGAAGATAACTCTTTGTACAGCATGTATGGCGCACGTTAGAAGTGAAATTGACTATACTAAATTTTGTGGTAAATTAACTACATTTGCACGAAGCGTGTCAAATGTCAAGGCAGTTCATTCAGAAATCGCATAATCGTAAATGCATGTTATTTATAAACTACCTAGGTACTACCATTGTATTTCGCTTATAAATACAATGGTAGGTATTACCTACCATACTATATTGTTTATTTCTAATTTGAAAACTTTACCTTTCCCTTCAAATTTCCATTCATCACACTTGATAAGACTTGCACTAACATCACTATATCCACTAGAATTAACATGGGTAACATTTTTTATGAAACAGTGATCAGTTGCTTGAGTAAAGTTGTTCCACAAAATCGGGGTAGTATTTTCCAAACTATTCGATCGCGCACACGTCACGTGCCTTTCGGCAGCTTGAAAAGTAAAGGAAACAATGTGCCACGTGCAGGGAATATTCACAAGGGCCAATAGGAATGTCATTTGCAGTTGCCACTTTCCATAGTCACCAATTGTCTTAGACATCACATCGTCCTCATCCACTTCCACATTTTGCGTTTCGACCATTCTGAAAAAAAACCAAAATTAGTCACAATTTATACTTACAGTTTTATAATAACCGATTAGAAGTATAAGATTTATTAAAAAATATCCAGCTTTTTGTGTTCCTGCTCATTGTTTGCAATTCCGGAATTGACAACTAAGATAATGTTTTGTGAAGAAGTAGGTGCACTGACACATAATGTTTATTTGCAATTCGTAGAGTAAATGATGATAATCCCCACTTAAATCATAAAATAGTCGTGAATCTACGTACTGTTTGTAACTATTTTACGTAAAAGTCTCCTTTCTCGACTGGGTACTTCATTACTTTTTTTGTTTAACGTTTTTTATTATCCATAAGGGGTATCTAAATCAATTTTGCATTCCGTTCTAATTAGAAGAAGGTGGTGTGGTTCTGTTTTTCCTCCTCCAGGTGTTTCAAAATAGATGTTATTTGTTTCTTATCCCGTCGGCAGTATTTTTTAGCGCACTTTCCAACGAAGTTGTGTGCGCATTTGCAGCCACTTTCTCTGTCCGTCCGTCTATCCGTCCGTCCGTCCGAGGCCTTAACTACCCTCCTATACAGTTTTCAAGATATTTAGTTCGTTCTTTTTAAATTGGGTAGCTTATAGGCACCTGAACCCAGAAAATTCTGGACGATTAATGTGCACATGCGCAGACTGCGGAATGTCAAACTGCCTTATTTATGGAGATATTTCTTTGAAACTTTAACCATAGTTCCCTCTAGTAAAGAATAACATAGTACACATAGCTATTGAATTTTGGGAAGTACTGATCAATTCATGAAAAATGCGCGAGTTACTAGCCTTAGGGTGAAAACCTTTTTTCTTGTTTTATCGCGAAGTTTTCTCCTTGTAAGAGGCAAGTTATCTACAGGAATCGCGATAAACCCGCAAATACAACATTTTTTTTTTAAATAAAAAGCAGTTTTCTTGCCGTTTGAAAGAGAACAAATTTATTAGTTACTTACGTGCGAGCGTATGCGCAATGCACTTTTGTTGAAAGTGAAATAACTTTCAACTTTTTGGTGCGAGGTGAATTATTTCACTTTCACATTTCTGTTGAAATTAAATAATTAAAGTTTTTCTATTTCGGTGTTACAATGAGAATTTTGTGCAACTGTTTTCGGCAAAAACAGTGTTTCAATGAGTTCCATTGTAACATTGTTTTTGGTAACTTTTCATCTCTAAGTTGGCAGTTCGCCAAGACGTCAACGTCAAATCATCAGATGTGAAATCAAATTACGTACGTAAAATTTATGTCTTTTCCTTGATTTTTGGTACACGAAGAACTTAATACATTCCAAATCAGCAGTTTACACATCCACCATAAATAAATTTATCTACGAGTAAAAAATTACACATTCACGGAATTTAAAGTTTCCAAATGTCAGTGTTGTGTTTATCTACGCTGCCAAATTAAAATTTGTCAACGTAAATGGTGCTGCCAACTTAAGACATATTAATTCTAAAGTTTCCTGTAGTTTTTGATAATTACTTTTTAATTAAATTAAAACCCCGAAATAGAAAAAAATAGTATGAAAAACAGGTGTTACAATGCTTTATTGTAATACTCCTATCTTGTGGACACTCGTGGCTCCGCTTCGCTACGCCACTCGTGCCACAAGATAGTCGTATTACAATAGGTCACATTGTAACACTTGTCTTCCAATATACTATTTCCATCTAATAATATTTTTTTAGGTTGGTATTTAGGAAAATTTCACGTGAAAGTGAATCTGTCACTTCAAACATTTCCGAGAAGTTATTGCACTTTCGACTTTCTAAAGATAACTTTCAGCACTTAAAACGAGCTTTACGGAATTTGTCACTCCCCTTCTTTGTACTCTTTTTTAGCGTAACATGAGCAAGTTGCGTTAACGCTTATGTGTTCGGTTTTCCGTCATCTGTCAGTCTGTTCCATCGAAATCTCGGCCCATGTGCCACCTAGAGACTTCGGGTTTTCGCGAATTGGTTGCTGCTATAGTTTATATTTTCATCAGTTACAGGTTATGGTACCCGGAAACACCCGAGGAAACACCCACCAGTGGGTTTTGAAACATTTTTTTAAATTTAAATCACACGGCATTTGGTCGCACCTCGAGTGTGAATGTAATCAGCATTGGGTAGAAAAATGCATTTCATTAACGTACCCGGAAAACAAATAGAAAAATATTGAAATTGAAAATGTATTTCCAGAAAAGGGAAATTGATCTATTACTGTCAAATGTGTACCCAATGGTATATATAGCAAAGAATTTGAATCCATTTAAAATGGAAAAAGGTAGGTATTAATCATGGAGTTGGAAAAATTTGGTTTCACTATACTATTAAGGTACTGACAAAGAATCACTCGAATTAATCCACTAATTAACCCTTACATATGTGAAATTTCCTTTTTGATTTTCTAAATAACGGTCAAATATTTTCATGCGAAATTTAACATGTGCAATATAAATACCAAGGATGAGGAAAATGTAGTGTTATTGAATTAATTACCTGAACGCAGAAATCAAATTTAAAGCAAATGATTAAACACATAATAATAATAATAATATATATGCAATCAGGATGCAAAAGAAATTGTAATACCTCTGGAATCCGTTTTAGAAATACATCAATTCTTTGTCATTGCCTTCTAGATACGTTTTCAAAAAAAACGCGTTTTCATTGAGATCGATTAAGTGCACACTGCACAGTTACTATTAAAGAGCATCAAAAAAGAAATTAACAAATTTAAGAGCTAATTAGTGGATTAATTAGAGTGATTTTTATGAATACCTCAGTTATATTATGATAGTATAGCAGTAGTGAAACAAAATTTCTCCAACTCCATAATTATTACCTTTTTTCCATTTTAAATGGGTCCAAATTTTTCGCTATACCCCTGCCCCTTATAGACGTGAATATTTCGTGATTGCATTTCGTAAAGAAGAGCTTCAGATGCGTATACATTATCCGAACCGAACGTGTAATATAACATGTATTTGTGTAGTTGAGACGGTACTTCAAACACGAAGCGAGCAGATTTGCTTCATGCTCACCCGCTCCACCAAAAGTCGGATTTTCTGACGAACACAAAGAGATTCGTTCGCACAGTTGGGACGTCTTTTAGTATTTCTGCATGCTCATAGCGTGCCCGAATCGGTCGGAGAGGAACTTTATTCTTCAAGGTACTCTAATAAAAGGTCTCAACGAAAGAAATTAATTTCTACCAATCGTGATCGGATATATACCCTTATATCTCTAGAACATATTATCGGAATAGGGTACTACTCACAAAGGGCGATTGGGGCGTCTAGAAGAAATATATCCTTTGGTGATATCAAAGCTTTAAGAGCGAATATCTCGAAAACGGTGTACTCTCAAAGGCAAAATGAATCAACAGGATGAGACAACGAGGTGTCGGAAGAGGGTACTCATAAAAGGCAAGTGGATTGTTAGGACGAGACAGATCTATTCAGTGCAAATATCTGCAGAATGGAGTGTCGGAGAATTTTGATTGTATGCCAGGCGGTCTTTAATAATGTTGATGTGTAAAGTGCCTTCTCCCCATTAATCATCTACCAATAAAGTAAACATCGATATCTTGGTACTACCTTATATCCCAACCATTTAAGTTATTTCGGTTAAAAAAAATTAGCTTTATCTGCACAAGAGTTGTGCATAATTTATACCATTTAAGTCGATATGCGTAAACTAAACATAGAGACGTATATTGATCTGAAATTAGAAATATAATATACGAGTGCAATACGTGGGTAGATCAAACCGCGCATCAGCTCGGGATAATTGAAATTTTAGCTATGAGTAATTATGCTACAATCAATCAAACGTATTTTGACATTATAACGGCTTCAATCTGATAAGGAGATTTCTTTGAATATGGGAGAAACGCCAAGGAAATTTATCTACATTTTTGTGGGGATCATTGTCCTTGTCCACTATCCACTCGTACTTCACATTCACGCATACGCCCATACATAACATCCCGTCAATTCCCATGGAATGGATGCGAATTTAGAAGGGAAAAGGGACAGTTCTCATTATTGACTACTAGTTAATAATGTCCACATTATTAATTACTTTGAACAACTGCCGAGAAAGCCTTCTTTACAAGTGGAAAAAAGTTTGAAAATCATGTCATCAGACGCTAGTAGTGAAAAAAAGCTTATATTGACGCTCCGTTCCTCACGATTTCGCAAAGTTTTGCAAAAATAGCGCACGAACCCGGACCCCTATCGTTTTTCGCAACATTGCCTCGTCCGTCACTTTGACGTTTAATTCTTTTATTTGTTACTCAGTTGTAAACGTTGATTAACAAGACAAAACGCAAACGGGTAAACGTCATGTTTAAACTGCTACTGACTTGTAAAACTGACAGCAGACTTGTAAAACTGACAGCAGACCTGTAAAAATTTTACAAGTTAGTAATCTAGTAATTTCATTGGCCAGAATTAATGCGAAGTCTCTGTTACATGGATCACATGATATTTTAGACATTTCTTCAAGATCAATTTAAGAACTAATTATTTACGTTTACAAATGAGTAACAAATAAAATATTGTACATTATACGCCAGGTAATAGTTTTTACTGGCTCTAGGAGATGACAGGCTCGCCTAACGGCTCGCCAGTCAACTTCTCCTATCGCCAGTAAAAACTCACTTACCTGGCTAATAATGTAAAATACTATAAAATGGCGGAAAATTCGCATTTAAAGGAAAAACACCTTCTCACACCGGTAAAAGGCTTCCTACACGTGCGGATTAAAATTTTAGAAAATTTAAGACTCTTCATAGATGACACGGACGTTTCAGCGCCCTAATATTTAATCCAAAATTTCAAAAAAACGCTTCACTGATGGCGTCATCGGTGCAAGTTTGAAGTGTCTTTTTTGCAAATTTAAGGGTGAAGGAGATCAAATTTTGAGCATATGAATATCACCTCAACTTTTTACGGAGGACTCGATTCCGTGGAGAAACTTGACGGATTACAAAACATCCCGCACAGAGCTTGCATGTCTACATACCAGGTGCATGTGTACCACTCTAAGCTCGACTGAATAATAACGGGCGATCAAAAAAGGATTGACGTCGAGTCGCCTTTAGAAGTGACTCGACAGCAACTCTGTTTTGATCGGCTAGTATTGAGCGCCGTCTTGGTATTATTCATACTGTGATCCCCCAACGAAACAAGAACCGGAGC